GCACACGTTGGTGAAACCAAATCAGTCGATCGAGGCATTCGTTCACTATATTCTTGGTTCCCAAGTCAATGTTAGATCATCAATCTTGGGCTCATCAGGAAGCGCTAAGGAAGCTCAACGTGAGTTCCTCAGAATAGAGTAGAATAGAACAGAATAGAAAGGAATAGAACAGTTTATTTAATGTCGAAGACGTAGGTTGTGTTTGCATAATCTTCTGAGTCAGGGGCTTTTGTTAAAAGTGCTCGACAAACTAAAAATACAAAACAAGCTTAAGTGTGAGTTATGTATATACAAATATTAAAAAAATATATATTATATACAGTTCATACATTGGTATCCTGTGAAATTAACATTATTCACGCGAGCACGAAATTGTGCCAAAGTGGTCGAGGATTTGGTTACAGTTAGTAACTGATTCCTTAAGGGGGAAATCATGTACAAATAGTCAGGGTTAAAAACTAAATTTTAGAAGTACTCGCCATTCGGGCGAGTGACATTCAGATCGTACTCGCCCAAGTACGTTTGCACTCTCCAATTCCCCCCCTAAAAACAACCAAATAAAGCAAAGTACAGGAAACAAACGCTCTGCCAGTGCTAGCCTACATACTACAGCTTATCTAGTTTTTGTAAAATAATTTCCTCTGTTATCTCGGCGTCTGACTCATAGTCAGACACCACTCCTTCGACGTCATCTCCAAAATCGTCATCCCTCTTTTCACTGAAGATGACTTCCTCCTCGGCCTCCTCGTCTTGTTCAACAGGTACGTTCTGTTGAGCTGCTGGTTTGAGAATGGCGGCGGTATGTTCCACAACTTCCACGGATCCTGGGTCTGAAAGGTTAATGTTTGACTCTAATCTGGCTCGCTTTCTCACCAGGCGTTAACATCTGAATTGCTATTGAATTATTAAGAGTCGCATTGCACAGTCTGCTTCGGATGCTAGTCTTCGTAAGTTTCATCTGACTGAAGCCCCGTTCATTTGCAGAAGAACTGGCCGGAAGGGTAACGATAAGATCTATAACGGCAAGGACGTTTTCATGGCCTTCGTGATAAAGGCTGTGAACTTCGGGCCATGTGAGTTCTTGAATGTGTTCTTTGGGTCTAAAAGGATAATTAAAAAATACCCGGTGAATATAAATATTGAAGATCGATGCATGGTGAAAATCACTTTATGAAACTTATGTTCACGACTCGCTTGTCATAAAGATGGGATTTGAGCATCACCCATTCCAGTTCCACCCGCTCACAGTCAATTTCTGCATGTTGGAGCACCCCTCCAAAGTGCTAATATAATGTGATAATAATAAAATAAATAAGATATTAGGACCTTCTTTATTCACTTTGTATTTGGCAAAATAAAAACTTTTTATTGGATAGATTTTTGTGTCTTCACCTGTAACGTCATCCTTTTTAGAATACAAGGGCCACTGTTTGAAATTTGCTATCCGGGTTACAGCTACGACATCCTTCGAAACGTCAGCGAACCTTGCCTCCAAATTGGCCAGGATACTCTTAGTCAACCGTTTGGTACTCGTTGCATGAAAATTTCCCGCTGAAACGTTGCCACTCGTTGGCCTACCCTTGTACGTCGAGGCCTCAGGATAATGGTCTCTGAAAAACTGTTTTAGTCTTGAGCCATTGCAGAAAAAATTAAAAGGTTTAAGCACTTAACACTAGAAGCCTCAAAAATGTTAGACGTTCGTACCTTTCCTTGAATGAGCTGATAACATCTCGCCAACGTCTGCTAAAGTTGTCTGGTTAGACTGCAGTGTGAGAGACAGAAGTCGTAGAAGGGAAAGGACATCCAGCAGCAGATGGAGATATGCAATCGCATCAGGCCGCTTCATAAGTTTTAGGTAACCACTGGCTTAGTTTTGGGCATTTCCCTAAAAAGCCATGGAAAATTGAGATATATTATGATATTAAAACTGAAGAATATTTCTGGTCATATTGTTTTTTGTATTACTAAAGAAATCATGAATATCTGTGGGCTAAAAATGGTTTACATCTCTACTGTTTGCTGCATATCACAGTATTAATGTTTAAGAACGATGTTTTCTTACCTTCTGTGTGATGCAAATTTCAAGCTGAGCACGAATTGCAGGATACCCTTTAACAAAATTCTCAATGGCCAGCACCATGTGTCCCACCCATCTTGTGCCACCAACGCGGGTTGACATGAGAGAGGACTACTTTAGGCTCGAAAAGGATTGCTTCAGACTTTGGCGCTGTTTTGGACTGTTGTGGTAAAGGTAATACAAGCCTATCAGAAGAACTATACAGCTATCGTAGAGACGGTTTTCTTTTACTTCATCCTTGAATGCAGGCTCCAGTTGGTGAGCAAAACAATGCACGGTGATGCAATTAGGCTGTAAACGGGTTAAATATGCTGAAACGCCCCCCTTTTTCCCGACCATAATAGAAGCTCCATCACAACCAAACCCCACCAATTTCTTCTCCAACTCTTCCTTATTTAGTCCAACATCTTCAAGGGCATCCATGATGGCTTGAAATAAACCAGTGGTATCCGGGCTGACAGGCTGCCTTAAACCTGCAAACTTTGTGACTGGTTCGCCTTTGCTACTATAGCGCACAAATGCAATTTCTTGCTCAATGATGCTGGCATCTGTGGTACCATCCGAAGTTACGCTCGCGAATTTCGCTCTCTTTATTTCGTCAGCAACTTGATCCTTAGCTGATGTTGCGATGTATTGTATGAATGTCGTACAGGCGTTGATGATGCGATATGTTCTACCCAGTGTCAGTCCTTTTGCCTCATCTAGATCGCAAAGCCAGTTGTAATCTGAAATTGATTTCTTATGCTTGGCAACTGCATGAGCATTTCTGAATAACGACCTCAACTTCCCGTTGTACTGTTTTAGCAACTGTTGCCTCGCCAAATATGCGAGGGTTTTTTCTGGATTTTGTTTTGCCTTGTGGCACTGGCTAGCAAGCTTATGAGCTGCACTGTTTTCGATTCTGCCTTATGGACTGTGCAGCCATCTATGAATTTATTCGAAGTCAAAACGCTCTGTGAAATCAAGGTTTGTTTGTTTTCCATACACCACTCACATGTGCCGTTCTCATCATCTTTTAACCAAGGGCGGCCAACCTGCCATTTCGAAGAAAATTTCCTCGTACCATCCTCTCTATGGGAAGAGACGAAAACTGGTAAATGAGTAGGACTGGCGATTTGCCAAAGTGACCCAGCAGCCAAAAGATCTTGCCTCCGTTATTATGTTATCTGTAGGTTGCGAAAACTATACCATTTTTCATTCATTGATAATGCCACCATTTTTCAACCAGTTAACCTGTTAAAGTCTTAAAATAAAACCACACTATTATCAATATATTATCAGTCCCAACGGCTCTTTTTTATTGTCTTCTACCCGCATTGAACAGTCACTGAAAGTGGGACCACTCAAATACTAAAAATAATCTTTCAAGTAATTCATAGCGGAGCTCGCAGAGCGTAGCCCCATAACTTAACGAAATAGTAGTAACCCATCAAGCCGAAAAATTTGGTTGTACGACCGTACGACCGTACAAGGTTCTACTTTCAGCATGCGCGGCCAACTGTACCACGGGCACTATCTTAGCCATTACGTAATGGAAGGGCGAGGAGAAGGTAATGCGCAGGCGCGATCGCATGCGTAACTTGGATACCCCGTTAGTGTTCGCCAAGAGACACCGTCATATGACGATAGAGTGCGCATACTCGAACGTCGAGCTGCATTGTAGCGTACTGCGGGCACACGGTTAGGCATTGCATGAGGGCTTCACGACGCTAGTAGATGAAATTTGTCACCCGCGTTTTGAGCGGGAAATCAAACTGGTCAGGATGTAGTTGAACAGTAATTCTCAGTATTTTGCCATTTCTAAACAACTCGTAGGACAACAATACCGGCAGAGTTTAAGCTTTGTCAACCGGAGGAAATTGTTATAATTCAAGTTCGTGGAGAGAGGGTTTTAATTGAAAATAGGCTGGATATAAAGAGACAGAGCGACCAAAGAAAGCAACAAGTAAACGGCGTAAAGCGAGTCCAGAAAATCGCACAAGAAAGTTACAAAGGACGCCAAAATAGGCAGAATACGGCGAGAGGAACACGAAAGAGAGCAATAAAGGGCATAAGTAAAAAGGCGAGTTTCTAGCGAAGAGCAACGCGAGAAGGAAATACAAAGTCGCTTCTGAAAACAGACTGAAAAGAGATCATCAACAAAGAGAAGCGAACTGCAAAGGATCCGCGAAAGCAGAGAAGGTAAGTCGTGTCCTATCTGGGTTTTCTCTTACGCTAAGACCCAGAAAAAAACTCAAACCTTTTTTTTTTCCAATCGTCGTTTGATACTTGCTTCAGTTTTGAATTCAACTGATCACGTTTCGGTTAAACATTGACTCTGGCATTCATCGCCTAAAAACTCTTACGCCGGTTCATCGCTCGAATAATATTGCATAGTGTTCGTATTCTTCAAGTTATTTCTTGTCCTTTCGTTTGAAAGTTTAATACAGTCGTGGTGTTATGGGAAAAGAAGTTATCTTAAGTATTTTGTTTTGCCTAGAAAGTTTTCAAATGATGTCGAACGGCGAGCGCAAGTTTCAACTTTTTTGTCTCTTCAGTTAATTATCGCAGGATTTACTCTGTTTATTTGAAAAATTTGCGCTTTATCGAAGATGTGTTGTTTTACCCTAAGAACGAAGTAATGGCCTTTCCCAAAATTAAAATAAAATGGGATTGAGTCAGCGATGTTCATGTTTATATTAAGTCTAACGCGGTAATTTGATTTTGACGATATTGTCATGTGAGAACCCGTCAAGCATCTGAGAATCAAATTACGACCCGCAAATGTGTGGTGCAAACAAACTCACGGGTGAAATGGAGATGGTTCTACAGCGGGATGAGTGAATTTAATTGTTTAGTTGTCGTACTTTTCAGTGCTATGTTTTCATGCTTTCTACTCGATTCGTTCGAACTTCAGGAAATGGTTTGTGTCACAAAACATGGAGCCACTTTCTCTTCGCTCAACATCTCGAGGCGTTATGATGAACATGCTTGCGATACGATATTTTTTTCCTTATGCTGGAAACTGAAGAATTAATCTCTAAAATTGGTAGTCGTCACATTTTGCAAGAAGCGTCCGAGCTGTGATCGTGCAATTAAACGGGGTTCTGGTAATTTGACCTCACAAGCGCGCTGGTAAGCACATGGTTCGCGTAAATAACTGTTGTTTACAGTTATCGCATTCAAGAGCAGTTTTTGAGTTTCTGTAACCTTCCTGGATATTTTCTGTTAAATTCATTGTGGTTTAGTCTGGGAATTTCATAAGCGATTATAAATGATAGACTCGTATCGGCACCATAATTTAGGGAAATTTTGTCAACATATTAACAGTTTACAATTCGCGAACCATTTTTGTAACCTACTTGGATATTCTCTCTTGGAGTATTTGAGTCACACCCTCGGAATTTCATTAGTAATTAAGAACGAAAAGTCCTTATATATAGCACAAGTGAAGCACATTTTAAACTTTCATACGATTGTAGGAAACTATACTTAATTAACCCTGGAAAATTGGCCTGACACAACTCGATGATTATTTTATTATTTTGTAGCCCCAGAAGCCCGGCTTGTGAGTCTGGAGTACTGAACTTGAAATGTTTAATACACAAGGCACCCTTCAAGTAGGAAGGTTAGAATAAAATTGCTTTTATGACCATATATTGCACTCGGTTAACATATGTAGATAATTACTTAAAAAATACTTATTGTAGCTGTATTCAGAAGCATAGACTTGTAGACAATATGCTTCTGCTTTATTTTATTGTAAGGGGTTTCTTTTTATGTAACATGTATCCATCCTTTAATGTCCTCTTAACCTGCCTGCAAATAACTGAATTTTATGTTTGAATTCAAGATGAAACAGAAGTCTTGCAGAGTTCTCATTCCATATGGAATTCAGGTGAGAACATCAGTAAACAAGTGAAAATCATATGCTTCTCCTGAATATTTAATTTTATTGCCCTGGTTTTTTTCAGAAACCCTATTTTATATCTCTGTGTGACAGCTATTGATTAAAAGCTCAGTGAATAGATATGCTTTTTTTTAGTAATTTTTTAAATTCCATCTTTTTGTTTTTGGCATTTACTATTTTAAAATTCATAAATGGCATTCCCTTTTTATCCTTGTAAAGAGATATTGCACATTTCTTTAACTAAAATATGAATTATGAAGTCAACTTAATTTCAATGAGTTTGAAACTTCATTTTACATAAGAACACTTTACTGGCATATACTGTTATATTTATTTGCTGTCTTTCTGTTACAAATAGTTACCATATGTGTCTCAACCCTTTAACTCCCAAAATTTCATGAGTAATCCTCCTTACTGTCTACCATACAATTTATGTGATGCTAAATTTGAGAATTTGGAATTGGATCAACCAATAATCCTCAAATTGATATTTGTCTTAATTCTCGTTACTTATCTGCTTTATGTCATACTAATAGTGTAAGGAGAAATTCTGTCTAGGTTAAAAGTGGGACTTAACCCTTTAACTCCCAAGATCTCATCAGTAATTCTCCTTACTATCTCCTATACAGTTCTTGTGATGTAAGTTTGGAGGCTCTAGTATTGGATCATCTTATAATCCCCTAACTAGTATTTTTCTTTATTCTCATCACTTGTCTGCTTGATATTGTTTTGATATTGTAAGGAGAAATTCTTTCTTGGTCACTTATAGGAGTTAAAGGGTTAAAATGGGGGATTTCAACATATTGTAATGATTAAAATATTCCTATGCTTTCAAATACACCAGTAACAAAAAAATGTGATGAGAATCTGATAATATGAAACACTTGCAATGGAAAAACCTGTTGTTGGTAGCTTATGTCTTTAATGCTTCAATTTTCATGGGAAATGCTTTTCTTTGAAAATGGGGATACAGAAGTTTTTAAGGCTGATAGAGGTAAGCTGTTTGCAAGTAATAAAAGGCAAATTGACAATCATACCTTAATGCTTGACATGCCTCACTCATACACGTCAGTTGTGTGTACCTACCATTGTAGAGGTGTCTTTTAAAAGGTTGTTTTTTGTTACACAAGGCAACCTTCAGGGTGGAAGAGTAGAAGACCACAGAATAATGTTTACATGGCATTTGTACTTAATGCAATCATATATTCAAGCAGTACTCTATATATATATATAACTGATTACATGATGTCTTTAACCCTTTACACTCCAATATCAGAATGCATATTCTCCAAACTGTTCTCTATATATTTCCTTATGTGCTGGCAAGGAGAATTTGTTTAACAATCAAGAGGTTTTTCAGTTGATTATCATTTCCTTAATTCTTATGACCTTAATGTGTGACTCAGGGGTGATATTGAAAGGAGAAATTAGATGCTAGTCACTCTCAGGGATTAAAGTGTTATTAGCTGTACACATTTTCATGTATTTGCTCCTCAAATTTGTTTGCAACAATAGCTAAGATTGTTAGGAAAGC